TTAAATTAGGGGGAGATAAGCATGTATAAAGTGAATATTTCATAGCAAGATTCAAAAGATCCTAAAGGTAAGAACCCCTTTTGTTTTGGTGGCACTGGGGATTTGAACTCAGGGCCTCATGCTTGCTAGGCAGGCGCTCTACCACTTGAGGCACTCTACCAGCCCTTTTTTTGTGTTGGGTATTTTCGAGATAGAGTCCACAAAACTATTTGCTGGGGTCTCGCCTCGTACTATCATCCTCCAGACCTCTGCCTCCTAAGTAGCTAGGATTATAGGCGTGAGCCATTGGTGCCAAGCAGTATGAATTTTTGTAACAAGCCATTTGTTATAGTTCTTGCCTTGCTTTTTTGTTTTTGTTTTGAGATAGGTTCTTACCATGTAGCCCAGGTTAGCCTCAAACTTGACATCTTCCTGCCTCTGCCTCAGTGCTGGATTACAGGCATGCACCACCATGTCCCTCTCTCATATTGAAAGCAACAAATCCAATAATAACCAAAGGCAGTCTTCTGATTATTAAACACCTAATAAGGACCACTGACTGCTTGAGGCTGCTGTGGACACTTAATCAGGCTCCCGTTTTGGACTCTGACAATCAGTAGCCACTGTTGATAAGTCTGCAAATAATGAGAGGTAAACACTGTGGAAGGAGAGGTGAAGAGCCTGGCACATTGAGGTCTTTTCCTAGGGGAAGAACTTTCCACGTAGACTGGACTCTGGATTGGGCTTCACAGAAATCCTCAAGATTTCACACTATTATATTTCTCTCTCTCTCTTTTTTGGGTTTTTTTTTTTATACTCTTTCTTTGTTTTGAGACAGGGTCTCACAATGTACCCCAGGCTGGTCTTGAACTTAAGATCCTCCTGCCTCAGCCTCCCAAGTGCTGAGGTTACAGGAATGTGCTACCATACTTGGCTATTATATTTCTCTCACATTCCCTGGAATAAAGGTTGCAAGAGAATCATGGTCATTGACTTTTGGGATTTAAGGGAACTAAAGAGACCAGTGGAACATTCCTGTAATCTCGGTTACTCTTGAGGCTGAGGTAGGATGATTGAGAGTTTGAGGCTGGCAACGTGAAGATCTTGTCTCAAAAAATGATCTGGGCTAGGGAAGCTGAAGGTTCTGGATGAATATCTGTGCCTGGACATCTTGTACTAGAAAAGCAGCGTAAATGCATAACTGAGAATCTGAAGCCAGACTTTTCCAAGAAGTGCTAGTGGAGTGGCTCAAGCAGTAGAGCGCCTGCCTAACAAGCGTGAGGCCCTGAGTTCAAACCCCAGTACTGCTCCCCCAAAAAAGAAAGAAAAGTGATAGAAAATAGACATAGGCGAAGTGAAGCAAGCACTGCCTGCCTTTGGGAGACTATCAAGGAAGAGGTTTACAGAAGGATGGTGAAAGCATGGTAAACAGAATCGCTTGAGGTGTCATGTTAGAACGTGGATGTGTGTGACGGATGCAGAACAGATCAGATGTACCTGGTGCATCTCCTTGTAAGGGATGAAGAGAGATAAGGTTCTTAGGTCACCTTATGAAAGCCATTCACTATTTTAATAAACGCTTACTGAAATTTAGGGCCACACTTGGTTCTCCTGGTCAGTAATAAAGCAGTCAGCTTTAAGGATGTGTGAGGAGTTTTTATTCCTGTCTCAGGGCCTTTTACACATGTGTCCTGTTCTCCCTCCCCCTCCCGTCTCCAGTGTTTTCCTCTCCTTCCCTTTTAAAATTTTTTCATAGGTACTGGGATTTGAACTAAGGGCTTCACGCTTATTAGGCAGGCGCTGTACCACTTGAGCCAGTCCACCAGCCCAGTCCTCCCCAACCCCTTTTTTTTTTTCTCTTTTTTTTGCTTAGTTAATTTATACTCGCCCTTCAGAGCTCAGCTTGGAAATTACTTCCTCAAGGAATACTCTTGTCCCTCCCCTATTTTTCTGGTTAGGAACTTGACGGCTCCTTCCTATCACTTGCCTCAATTATAAATATATTCTTGTTTAATATTTGCTCTGCATTTAACCTCCGTCTGGTTTGTTGCCTCTTCTCTAACAGCATTAGATGCGTAGCTGGCATGGAATGAGTGTTTGCTAAAAGAGTGGCTGAAGCATGTCCTTTGGATGTGGCAATAAGTGGTTACCGTTGACCTTGGAGAGACAGTTCAGAGAAATGGTGGGGGTGGAGCCAGATTGCCGTGCATTGTGCTGTAAGAGGGAAATGAGGAAGCTAGGATAGTGATGTGTAGATGACCTTTTCATAGGTGTGGCTGTAAAGGGGAGGAGAAGCAAGGGTGGTAGCTAGACGAGAAAATGCGACCCAGGGTTGGTTTGGGTCAGAAAGACTTGAGCTTAGTTAAGTGATAATGAGAAGGAGGTAGTGCAGGAGTTAGGGTGGAGATGGCTGCGGTGTGTATCTTCCCTTTTTTTTTTGGCACTGGGATTTGAACTCAGGGCCGTACACTTGCTAGGCAGGGGCTCTTACCACTTGAACCATTCTTCCAGCCCTTTTCAAGATAGCCTGTTGTAAACTATTTGCCCAGGCTGGATTTGAGATCCTTTTGATCTCTGCCTTTGAGTTCAAAGATCTGTAATCTGAGGATTACAGATGTGAGCCACCAAGTGCCCAGCTACTGTGCATCTTCTAAGAGGTAGATAGGATGGAATCCAGAACAGAAGTGGCACGCTAAAGAGCCCAGCCTGTAGGTTCTTGGAGACACTGGGGAGTCTGACCTGCAGCTGAAAATAGCTGCAAGTGTGGCTGAGCCAGCTAAGATTCGTGCAGTGGACAGAGGAAAAGAACCAGAGAGCTGAAGCAGGGAAGGACTAGAGAGACTTTAGAGAGTGGCATCAGGTGGCTGGGGAAGAAATAGGGGATCTCGATTTTTGTCCCTGGTGTTTAACATATAGCAGGTGCTAAAATAAGTGCTGACTGAATGTTTTTGCGGTTTCTCAAGACTGGAGAAAACAGGGCAAGCCCAGAGGGTGTGGCAATAATGAGTTATCTTAAATATCCTCAAAGTGGAAAGTCCTGATCCTCTGTGAATTTTGGAAACAGTCAGAAGTCACTCAGGGGCACACAGTTGAGTAAGTGGGTGGTCAGGTCAGATACTGTTCCCTTTTGGGTAAAAAAGTGAAAACAAGAAACAAGGTGTAGCTCTAAAATAATGAGATTGGGATTGGCGCAGGACAACTCATAAATGTCTTTTTTGTGTGTGTATGGCACTGGGGTTTGAGCTCAGGGCCTCACATTTGTTAGGCAGGCAGTCTACCACTTGAGCCACTCTGCCAGCCTTGTTTTGTGATGGGTTTTTTTGAGATAGGATCTCTCGAAATCTTTGCCCATGCTGGCTTTGAACTGTGATCCTCCTGATCTCTGCTTTCTCAGTAGCTAGGATTACAGGCATGAGCCATTGGCGCCTGGCTGAGACTTTTTACCTTGGAGTTTTGAATATAAGAATATTAGATCCAGGCAGAATGACCGTTTGGGCGTATATGTCTCCCATCACAGAGGAAGGAGTGGAGAGGAGGGGTTTTAAGTTCTGCCAGCTTGTTTAATTCTCCTCTGAGTACGAGAAGAACAATTGTCTGTCTGCTAGCTGTCCCCAAATGGTGCTGAGCAATCTGGAAATGCCTAGAGCTGTGTTTTGTCTATTCACAGCCCCTCTGCCTGTGAAACAGGGCTCAGTGACTGTCACTATGCCTGTGGCAGTCTGGAGTTACCCAAGCTGAACAAAGCCACATACACAGAGTGCACAAGGGCGTCTTGAAACAACCTTGTCCCTCTTTCTAGGGCTGAGTCAGGTACCACAGCTGAATTGTAGCCCTACTTTATTTCAAGAAGTTGGCATCTGAACTACACCGAGAGTATTGTGTTTTGTTCAGGATACCTCTGTTTTGGAAGAACATGGGCCAGCTCTGTGCTTTTGTCTGTGCTGATCTCAGCTCACACAGCCTTGGAACATCCTTTCCCAGTCTTTGGTAAATCTGCCCCATCTTTCAAGGCTCAGCTCCAGTGTCCACTTCCTCTGCAGAGACTTGTGTCCCTCGTGAAACAAGCAGGCGCTAACATGGTGGCGTGGAGAGAGCAGGGGCTTTCAAGTAAGCCATAGAATGCTCTAGCAGTCATTTGATCTGTTACGCACGCACACGCACGTGCGCTTCATCCCTGCTAACCAGCCACTCTACCATGAGTCATGTCCCCAGCCCTCCCAGGATTGTTTTGAAAATTAAATGAGATTGAGTTGGCATTTAGAAAGTACTCATTCAATATTTTATCTTTCTCTTTTATCCCCATAGCTTTTCTTTCATTGAAATACAATAGTAAAGAACTTCCACCCCTAAGCAATATCCAATAAGGAGTTACAACATGGAAGCGAGTGATGTTGATTGAGTTAATGAGTCCCTGGACTAGGTGATGGAAATCTGAGAAATAACATGTTTAACCCAGAGGAGAGAACTTTCTGGGTACTGGCTGGAGCAGTCATCGGAAAGACTGACATTAAAAGGAGCCATGCTACTTGGGAGGCTCAGATCAGGAGGATCATGGTTTGAGGCCAGCCCAGGCAAATAGTTCACAAAACCCCATCTCCAAAATAACCACAGCAAAATGGACTGGAGGTGTAGCTCAAGCGGCAGAGCGCCTGCTTTGCAGGTACGAAACCCTGAGTTCAAATCCCCAATCCCACTAAAAAAGAAAAAGGGAGACCCTCTTCGTGGTAGAGGTGTGTACCACAATACCTAGCGGAAAGGCTGGTTTTGTATCAGTAGAAAGGAACAGTCAGAGCTGAGTTTAAAAAACAAAGTGAAACTACTTTGAGGCTGTGCGTTCCCTGCCCGGGAAAGATGGGCTGAGCATTTTCCAGAGACCTAGTGGAAGAGGAAAGGGTGGTGAGCAAAGCCTTGGCATAACCTTTCAATAGCAGATTCTGCCTACCCAGTCTTATTCTATGGTTGAAATCCCATCCCTTCGCCTCCTGCCACTTGGGGCCTCTGACTCTTGGTTTTGTGCACAGGTGAAGAGGCCTGGAGGTGTCGGGGCTGTGGGGATCATGTCACTCCAAGCCAGAGACTGTATAGGACTGTCAACGTAGCCTGGCACAGCTCCTGCTTCCGGTGAGTCAGTCTGGCGGCCCTTCTTTACCTGTGTGATCAGCCTGGGCAGTATTTTCATGTTCTGAAAACTACAGAAACGAGCTTCTGATTCAAGAATTTTGGTCTTGGTTGGCGGGAGGGGGGTGGGGGCAGGGTGGAGAGAGGACTGTGCCAAAGGAGAACACCCTTAAACCCACGGTCAGGGTCAGTGTCAGGCAGAGGGGGTCACAAAATGAGCCTCTTGCAGCTGGAGGCAGGTGGGGGCGGGTGGAGCCATTTCCAGGGTTTCTTCCTGCACCCTTACTTCGTGGGCGGGAAAACCCAGGCCCAGGAAGAAGGACTTTCCCCTGCTGCACTGCCTTATATAGGCATTCAAGAATTGTATTTAGTGCAGTTGGCAGTACTGGCTCTTCTTGCCCCCAGGACATCTCCCTAGGTTCCTTTTTTTTTTTTTTTTTTTTTGCCATTAACTTTATTATAGCTCTTGATTATTGGTTTTTTGTTTGTTTTTGTTTTTGGCAGCTTTGGGGTTTGAACTCAGAGCCTCACACTAGCTAGGCAGACACTCTACCACTTGAGCCACTCCACCAGCCCTTGTTTGTGCTTCTGAGGCTCAGTTTCCTCAGCGGAGAATCAGGGTTGTTGATAATTCTCGCATAGACTTGAGATAGAATGAAATGACATATGCCAAGCACCTGGTGCGTGGGAGGCACCCACTGATGCTTCTGTCCTTGTCAGCTCGGCATCCTCAGCTAGTCTTTGTGTTCTCCAGAACGCGAAATAGTGCATGGTCCACAGTTGTTCCAGGGCAGGGGGAGGAGCGCCCCAGTTCTGGAGGCTGGGCCTGAAGTGCTGGGACTGGGCATGGCCTGAGAACAAGACTGTAGATGGACACTGTGTGCTGCAGACGCCTGCTCCCACACACAGCTTCTGGCTGTCATAAAGCATTCCTTGTGCTGAAGTCAAATAATTTAGTTGACCTTTAAACACTTGCCTCCCCCTAGGAGCTGGGGCAGGGGATTTGCCCTGGAACGATCCGGCCCCTGAAAGAACTGTGGAACCTGCATTTTTCTGCCCTCTCCACTCTAACTCTGTGGAAATCAGCTCTGATTGCCTCTGTGGTTTTCATACCTTGGTTCCTTTTCTCTTCACTCTGGGGAAGTTGATGTTACTTCTTCTTCTGCACTGTCCCGTAAGGAACCTTAGAGATAGTCCCTTATCTACAAAGGCTAGTTGTAGACAAGCGACCTCAGGACTGAATGAGTTCCCAGAGTAGGTCTTGCCTTGGCCTCTAACTCACAGCTCAAATTCATTCCCGCTATTCCCTATTCATACATTATTTTCTGTCCAAAAGAAGCAGGACACAGACTAATCCTTGGAGTTTCTGGATTCCCCAGAACTAGAGGGACCACCAGCTGTATCATATACCCCCTTTCTAACACAGCTAGGAGGATGCTGTCTTAAAACTGAGGTTCTGGGTCATTTGTAGGTATTAGCTTGTTAGTGAATTCCGTGTGTGTGTGTGTGTGTGTGTGTGTGTGTCTGAGAGAGAGAGAGACAGAAACAGGCAGACAGACATATTCATACCCATACATGTACATAAAGAAGCAAAGCTTTAATCCATACATGGGGTACACACCTATAATCCCAGCACTTAAGAGGCAGAGGCAGGAAGATCATGAGTTAGAGACCAGCCTGGGCTACATAGCATGATCCTGTCTCAAAAGGATAAAAAAAAAGGTGTGTTAGCACGGTGACTAGTAGTTTTAAGAGTACAGGCTGCAGAACGATAAGATTATGTCATCGCACATGCTTTCTGAAAAGGATGGAATATGCTGCTCTAAGAAAAGGGCCTCTCAGATGATCTGCCACTTAAAAGACCCTCAGTAATCATTTTATCCTCTGCTGTGGTGTCAGCATACACCGACACGTATACCTTTATTTCTCTTGATGCATGTTCATCGGCTGTCTGATGTGGAGCTTCTGGGATCAAGGGCATCTTTGAACTACCCTGGCACAGTTAAACCACAGATCGTGGCTGTGGGGGAGGTTGAGTGTCTGGGTTTTGTCTCCTCGTTGCAGCTTCACCTTGAGGGCAGAGCCTGTAATCCAGCTCTGCTGAAGTTGTGTGTCTCCCAGCTCCTGAGCACTCAGATTGGCTGAGCTGGCGCCCTGCAATAGAGTCTGCCCATTTGCTCTTGGGGGAGTGGCTGTCTTTTGGAGCCAGTTGGATTTTTGCCCAAATTGGAGGATGATCTTCAGGGCTGGGAGAAACTGTGTTTGCCATCCCCCTGCCTCTCCCCAGAAGTACCTTGGGTTATGGGGAGCATGCAGCATCAACCTGAGTGGTCTTAAGATTTTCACCCCAGCTTGCCTGTGATCCTAATGAATTCAGGGTGTCTGGGTGCAGGCCTGCTGGAAACAGGACCTTGCTATTCAGAGAAATTCATCTTCATGGTTCCCTTCTAGCCTTGTTCTTACGCAGCTGGGCTGCAGTTACAATAAAGGAAATGACTTTTCTTCTTCCCTTCTCCAACACCTTTGTTTTCCTAGTCATGGGGTGGGGCTGGATTTTTAAAGGAGAAATTGCTGGGACTTAGTCCAATGGCCTCTTCCCCTCCTCCTTAGGCTACCCCCAATTCCCTGTCTGCAGCCATATCAGTAATACTGCCTCTGATAGCCTTCTGCCAGATTCTCAGGTGCCCAGGACAAGAGGGAGCTTCTTGAGGCTTTAGGCTGAAACCTGGGACCATACAGTGGAGCCAGCTGACAGACGTCCTGGAAGCAATGACAGACTAATCTGTCATTGTGCTGTGCAGTTGGGCGCCTGGCCAGGATCCTTCTGAACTCCTGGACACATGGTTGGTGCTGGCCAGCCCTCCTGCTTCCTCTCCTCTGCTTTCCCACCAGGCCTGTTTAAACTCCAAGTGCCCCTGGCCTTCCTCTCCTTGAACAATGCCATTGATGTTAGATCTGGAGCCATTCTCTCTGGAGCTCTCTAGACCTGGCTCCCTTTCCTTGTTGTTGCAGGACTGGCGATGGAAACCAGGGCCTCATGCATGCTAGGCAAGCACTGTACCTTTGAGCTATATCCCCAGTGCTTTTTAAATTTTATTTTGAGACAGGGGCTCGCTAAATTTCCCAGGCTGACCTCAAACTTGGGATCCTCCTGCCTCAGTCTCTTCAGTAGTCGGGATTACAGGCATGCAATATCATGTCCGGCTTTTGGCAAGTTTTCTGATGTTTGCCTCTTCAACCTCATCACAGGTGTTTGGCCTAGGAGGAGGGAAAAGCTTCCCGCATTAATCTGACCTTGGTCTCTATTGCTTGACCTGATTCCTAACAGTATTAGCTGAGGGAGATCTACCACTCTTGGAATCCTGAGAATTGTCAGGCTCTCCTTTCACAGGATCACAAGCACAGACTGTTTGAGCTTTCACTCCTGACCATGTTCAGGAAAAGGGCTAATTCCAGTAGGAGACCGGACATTTCATCAGGCAGCAAACTGTTTCCGCTGAACTTGGGACTTCAGGAAGACTGATGAGATGGCACACATAAGAACCAGAGACTGTGGTGTAATGGGCCGGCAGACAGCAAGTGCTCACGCCACATTTCTTTCCACCACACCCCCATCTAAGCAGACGTGATGGAATCAGACTACAGTGAGTGCCAGACCCTGTCCTTAGCATTTCACACACATTAGCTCATTTAATCCCCAAGACAAATGTAGTCCTTGTTTTATGTACTTTAAAAACACGTACCTGAGACAGGCATGATGGCTACATGCCTATAATCCCAGCACTTGGGAGGCAGAGGCAAGAGGATTGTAAGTTTGAGGCCAGTCTGGGCTATATAGCAAGTTTGAAGACCAGTTGGGCTATACATGAGACCCTGTCTCTAATAGTAATAATAATAGTAATAACACTTTAAGCTACTTGCTTAAAGTCATAGAGCTAGTAAGCTACATAGCTGGGATTTGAACCCAGGCATTCTGCCTCCTTGCATTCAAGAGTCTTGGCATTTCTGCCAGGCACTAGTGGCTCATGCCTATAATCCTAGCTACTTGGGAGGCAGAGATCAGGAAGATGCAGTCTGAGGCCAGCCTGGACAAATAGTTTGTGAGACCCTATCTGGAAAATACCCAACACAAGAAAAGGGCTGGTGGAGTGGCTCAAGTGGTAGAGCACCTGCCTAGCAAGTGTGAGGCCCAGAGTTCAAACCCCAGTACCACACACACACACACACACACACACACACACACAAAGAGTCTTGGCATTCCTGAATATGCTTGTGCCATTTAACCTCACCAAGGCTCAGTTTCTTCTTCTGTAACATGGTGACAGGTCAGCCTGTCTGCCACACATTGGTAGTGTCAGATAACATGGAAGGATATTGGTTCAAAGACTTCTTGACCTGTAAAGTGTCAGCAAGCCTGCTGTTAGCTTTCCCTGGCTCTCCAATGCCTGCTTTGGCAATGGGTGAAGCAGGCCTGCCCTCTTCTGGTGAGCTGGGGATGCTGCTGCCACGTTTACTGGCTCAAGCTTGATTCTGGCTGTGGCCTTTTCTGGAAATTGTTTGCTTGTTTGTCCAGTTTAAGGAAACAACTGGCCAGTAGGTCCTGACCGAGGAAGGAAGGACGGACACCTTGGCCTTCCTCTGCCCCTATGAGCGACTCTGGCTTGAACAAGGTGGGACTCCTAGGACATAGTAGCCCTCAGTGAGTCTTAATCCTGCTCTTTTCTTTGGAAAGTGAGAACCAAGACCCCAGAGAAGCCCTGCAGCTGCTGTCCAGGCGGGGTGGGGGGAGGAGATGACTGATATTTATTAAGCTCTGTATTGACAACTTCACTTACTCGCTGGATGCTGGTGGCTCACACCTATAATCCTAGCTACTTGGAGGCTGTGATCAGGAGGTTCGAGGCCAGCTTGGGCAAATAGTTGATTTGTTATGGGACTGGGGTTTGAACTCAGGGCTTCACAGTTGCAAAACAGGTGCCCTACTGAATGAGCCACACCTCCAG